CTTATGTCACTATAACTAATATTTCTCCTTCAGTAACTTCAAGCATACTATCATACTACAAACATTTGCATCAAATACAAGTTGATATCATTTAATCATTAATTCACTGTGCAATCATTCATCTGAATGAGAAATCAAAAGATGGAATACCTGCTACTCCATTTTGATTAACAACAGCCTGAATAATGCTTGGCTTTGGTCCCTCCAATACAACAATGTCTGGTAAATGAACAATGTCTGCATCTAAAAAAACACATCAGTTGTCCAATTATTTGAAAAAAAATCTCAGCCATTAAAATGCCACAGTTACATAAACAATATTAAAACCTTTCACACTAATAACAAACAATGAACAAAATTCCAATCCACGATTGGTAATAAATCTTGGTTAACAATAATTTGGAAAAGCTGTAAGATTGTCTGCTGTGTGATATTAAGTCAATTTTGTCACCTGACTGACAAAATATATATATATTTTTTTCAAATTAAAATTGGTTTATTTCACTCTTAGATTGTACCATGTGAAGATGAGCTCTTTTCATCTTGTGTAGTTCCACCTTCTGTTGAATCTGTTCTGTGTACATCTACTTTTAAATCTAGAACATAAAAGAAATTATACAGTCTAATGTGGGAAAATTAATTTAAGTTCCAATAGTATCTTTACCATTAAAAAAAGACCCAATGCATGTTCAATAAAATAACAGCTCTTCTTTTCAAATTGGCCGTCATCAATTCTTAAATTTCCCACAGATTAAAATTAATTAAAATTAAAAGAAAAAATACTGTGTAAAAACCATTACCAAGTGCACAGGGATCTGACACTTCTTTTGTCTCTTACCTAAAACTCCTCCTCCTTTAGACTGCATGTCATCTTTGACTAGTTTGTTAATGTATTCCATGGAATCTGCTGGTGTTTTCCTACTGCTACTGGGTAAGTCTGTGATAGAGTTTCTAGAGCTGCACTGGACTGGAGGTGTTATACTTCTAGCCTGAGAGCCATTGAGGACCTTCATTTCTATACATTCTTCACTAGCCCTGATAATAATAATAATAATAATAATAATAATAATAATAATAATAATAATAATAATAATAATAATAATAATAATAATAATAATAATAATAATAATTTTTCCTAAATCAGTTGTTACATATTCGATTATTAATTGGAACTAACTTTCAACAGCAATTTTTACATGTCATGGCTTGCCATAAAAAGAAAAAATATAAATGTCCATTTTGGATAACATGACCACATTCTATATTATTGTTCCTTTCTTTGCCTTTTCTTTTCAGTTTATTTTGAATAGGGATATAAACTGGGTTTAAGTAGCAATGAAAATAATATAAAATTCATGTCAATGCTGATAAAAATCATTAATTATTTTTATGCTGTTTCAATGCACAAAAACATTCGAAATTGACAATATTACATGTAAAAGAAATAAACAGAAAGGTAGGCTAGAGTTTCTATAAATGTTTTCACTACATGCCAGGTGAAATTGTGAATGCCACAAGTCAGTTTAATTCTCACAATAATATTCAACATTCTATCCATTCTGCGGTATTTACAGTTCATATCTAACATTCTATTCAAATTACATCACATTAAGTAGTATCATACAATTTTATCTTGGTATGTGTACACAAAACCAACACATGCCTGACATCCTGTTATCCATATCATCTCTCATTTTTCTCCTCCCACCCAAACTGATAAGAGGAACTGGACCAAAAAGGAAACCCAGATAACATATCAATAAATAAAATGCAACTCCCATATTAGAACTGCGCAGTCAATATACAACAAATGAGTTTCTGGAAATTACCTCTGGTGATTTGAAGTTCCACCTTTTTTTCCATAAATAATACTGAATAAGAGTACTGGGACAAAGGCTGCTGAATAAATTCACATACCTGATGGTATGTCTTTGTGAAACAGACATTTTAAGGTAGTACAGAAATGTTCAGAATCCCTTTACCTAAGTGATGACCATCTCATGGACACCAATTAAAACCAATTCATTTCCTTTAGTAAGAGACCAGTCAACTCTAATACTTATATGGGCTAAGTACAGCTAGCTAGGTTAAAATAGTAGTAAAAAGCATTCAATATGCATACCTTTTGTTCCAATCATGTACAAACCTGTAAGTATGAGGTATCACAAACGTCAAACGTGACTAAAAATCTTACCCTTGTGTTCTACTGGCAGTTGTTTTATCTGTTTTGCTGCTTCCATCATCTGCTTTACTAGAGCTGGTATCACTCTCGTGGGCTTCTTCCTCTTCTATCATTTCACTGGTGTCAAATACATTGTGGAGTTTGTAGTTGATACCTTTTACTACTATAAATACTGCAGCAATGACAGCACAGTAAATGGACCATACAACCAGTGAAGAGGGGAGGGTCTGAAAAAAAGAATCAGGAAATAATGTATTCATTTGTCCATACCATACTTTCATGAAGGATTGGAAAGTTTATACAATTTAACTCTTAAGAGACAAAACATTTGCAAATTTCGAAATGATTGGAACCTGTTCATGGTACATTATCTTGAATTTCCCTGCCAAATCCTACCTACCTACCTACCTACCTAACTAACTAACTAACTGGATTTCCCTGCCAAATCCTAACTAACTAACTAACTAACTAACTAACTAACTAACTAACTAACTAACTAACTAAATCTTCTCACAAATCATTGCTCGACTCGTCCCTGCACTTGTGTTATACCCTTTCTAATTAAATAATTTAGTCGTTAATGACTGGCCAATCAAAAATATCACCATGTCTTTATGTACATCTCAAAAGGAAATATCAGAATCAGGTACTTTTGAGGGGCTTTATAATATTCAATCTGAACTGAAAAGATTTCAGTAGATTTGCAAGATATTTAGACATAAGAAATATGACTCTGGACTTTTCAAACACAGTTTACCTAAATAAAAAGTTATTTTTCCTAGTTGTAGTATATATATTTTGTTCATGAAAGCTACTGTATCACAAAAACCATCACCTCAGTTACAGAGAGATGCTAGTTTCCAAAAATCATCCTAAATGTCATTTTAAAAATAGCATTTTAATGTCAGATAGACTACCAAAGGCAATTCCACAGAAAATGTTAATATTACTTATCATTAATTTAGTTATCACACATTAAAGTTGTTAAACCCTACGACCTGTATCAAGACCCCCCCAAAAAAAAACAATTCTCCCCCTGGACATCCCCCCTCCTGTAATGCATATCATACTGAGAATGAACAATGTGATACTGAGAAAAATTAACAGGCGATAATCTCTCTCATCTAGGTCCATGTATCTCTTTGATGAACTAATTGACAGTCTTAATTGTTTAACACCCATCCTTAATCATGTTGCCTGCACTTAATCCAGGTAGAGTCGATGTAAATAGATAATCTTGCTTATCCAGGTATCCCTTGATGAACTAACTGTCAATTTTAATTGTTTCGCAACTACCCCTTGATATAAAAATGACTTTCTTTTTCTAGTTTCACTATCATTATTAACTTAGCCTGTTATTCAGAATACGTGTTAACTTCAAATGAAAAGAAGATAAGGTAACATTTGTTTGCTTTTAGAAAAATTGATAAATGGAAGTATTTGTTTGATTAAAATATGACATATAATGCCAAATTTACAAAATTTGCATCAATAGCATCCAATAATTTAGGGTTGCCTCTGAGGTCTATTTAAATGCGTAAGTGAGCCTCCTGAATCTTATAGTAAATAGCCAATCCTTTTGTTTTTATTTCATTTTTTGTCTTATTTCTTATGTTCAGTAAAATATTCAAGTTATATATAAATATAAAAAGATAATATAAATGCAAATATATATAAAAAATATGTAAGTATAAAAAGATAATGCCAATGCAAATGTATAAAATATATATATATATATATATATATATATATATATATATATATATATATATATATATATATATATATATATATATATATATACATGTGTAAAAGATAATTCAAATTTATTAATTGACCTGTAATGAGGGAACACAAAAACCAGTACTTAACCGCAATATCTACACCAGGTACATAACTTTGATTGCAAATAGTTTGCATCATGCAATCAAGAGAGGAAGTATTTATGAAATATTCTCTATAGATAGCACAGATGATTGGGGACTCTAAATAAAAAACCACATATACAATTATGCAGGTCTTAACAACATATGCCGTGTCAATTTTATGCTACACAAATTAACTTTCAACTTCAATCCTAATGAGGTATTTGTGCTATGTAACCGACAAAGTGTATTTATGCTTAACCCATTTAAAATTTTTACATGACACAGAACAGCAAAGCCTGCAAGTTTCAATGCAAGAAATTAAGCAAACTGTGGTTTAATTTTCATGAAAAATCATAATTAAGTTGATACCAAAACTGAAAATGCAGTATCAATCATACAGAAGGAAAGAGTTCAGTGAAGAGCCAAGGCATTCACTATCGTTTAAGGGTCTTTTTCTTTCAAACTGGCAATGGTGCCTACTGTCAATGACTTTCAGCCTGCATTGTCATATAAGTTATAACAAAACATGGAGCTTCATCATATAATTCATCAAGCTGACAAGAACATGAAGGTAAAATAGGTATCTAATCTTAATTTTGTGAAAGCTGTTTAACCATTGATTCCATCAATTTTACTTTTCAAATCAAATGCAAAATTGCAAATACTTACCAAGTACAAAGTTAGAGGAAAACACAGGAAAAATAGCCACAAATATAAATGGAAAGTATTCGAAAATACGCTCTGATGAGGGTCGTAGAACCATCCTCCTGTCAGAGAGGCCCACAACCCTTGTCTAAGTATCTCCAGTGTGTGTGATCCCATTTTGAGAAGAACCGTTTGAGACTAGGAAATGGGATAGAATGCTGTAAATATAAAATACTTTCAATTCTCTTCAGTCGCTTCCATGTTGAATCTCGAAAATTCACGGAACGCGAGATTGCATCCACCAATGCATGACCTACTTTCGCGGCAAATGCGTCATGGGATCTCATAAGTCAGTTCATTCATAACAATTTTAAAGAGAGGCGTTTCACTAGACACATATATAGTTAATTTAAAGACTTATTTTATTGAAAAAAGTACCAAGGACGTCGAATCACATGATCTAGGTTAGCCAATGAGGGTCTTCACCGCACCCTGTTTTGGTTCAAGGTCAAAGTACACGAAAATGGCGGCTGCAGGCTCATGGACAAAGGTGATTGATTTAGACCAACTGTGACATTAGACGTCCATCGCCGCGTCCCATTTTACCATCCGTGGATGCCTTAACATCTCAGCATCAGGGCCGTATGTTAACTGTTATATTCCTTATGTGATAAGGCGAGTAATTATTTGACAGACTAGTATTAATGGCATCATTTCATGGGTTTGGAGGAGAATAACACATGCGATGTCTCTGAACAGACTCCTCGTAGAGCCTTAACCATCGAGCGGTATGCTCTCCATAAAAGTGCAGACAAAGCTAAGAAGCTAATGGATCGACTCAGGCCGACACGCAGAGACTATGAGAACCTTGATCGACAACCGCTGTGGACAGCTATCTTTGATTACAAAGCCACCAGGGCAGACGAGCTAACCCTACGACGGGGTACCCAGGTTGAAGTTCTCTCCAAAGATGCCAAAATATCCGGAGATGAGGGCTGGTGGACGGGTCGTGTTGGTGCCAAAGTGGGAATATTCCCGTCGAATTTTGTGCAGCAGACGGCTGTGGTTAAAAAGATCTCTCCAGGTTCATTCAAGGATCGACCGTTTGAGATTCAGTTTGAAGAACTTAAATTATCCGAAGTCATTGGAGTTGGTGGGTTTGGGAAGGTGTACAGGGGAGAGTGGAGAGGTATAGAGGTGGCAGTGAAAGCAGCAAGACAAGACCCCGATGAACCTCTAGAGGAGAGCATTAAAAATGTGAAACAAGAAGCCAAACTATTTTGGCTGTTGAACCACATCAATGTTGCAGCATTGAAAGGAGTTTGTTTAAAACCACCCAACTTATGCCTTGTTATGGAATATGCTAGAGGTGGTTCATTGAACAGAGTGCTCAATCAGCCAGAGAGACTAATACCCCCTGAAATTTTAGTTGACTGGGCCATACAGATTGCCAGGGGAATGTACTATTTACATGAAGAAGCACCTATACATATTGTGCATAGAGATCTCAAATCCAGCAATAGTAAGTATATAGTATTTAGTTAATGGTGACAATATATTATCCATATCTATCCCCTTATATCAGCAATTCTAAAATGTCGTATGATAAATTGTTTTCACCTATGTCTCTTTGTTCATCTAATCTAAAAAGTCATCTTATTACACGTCAGATGCCAGTTACTTAAACCTATGCCACAATAAAAATGTGATTACTCGCTCACAAGAGTATTGGCCTTAAAGTAAACCCTAGTCTCTGTCTTCATAGTGAGTGAGGTGGGTTTTACACCACACATTGCCCATTACATAGGAGGGTAGTTGGGTCAGTAGGACAGTGTCACAGAGAAAGGCCAGCATGTCCACAATATTACCATAAGATTTATCTGTGGCATAAACTTGATAAAGTAGACCAGCCTTTTCCAGAATATTAACCATCATCTTTTGTGCTGTAGTTGAAATGTTTGGGGGGGAGGGGGGGGGGGGGGCAGAAAACAATGTGATGTTTTCAGAGCAACAAAAGTTTCTTCGCCACTGTTTGTTTGTAAAAAATATTCCTAGAAACACCATCATCCTTTAGGACATGAATTAAATGTCAGTCATGCCTCTTTATTTTATTGCCAGTTGTTATATATTGTCTGCAAGTATAAAATGACAGTGCTTATTTAAATAAACAATCCATAGAAAAAGGTACTATAAAGAAACGCATGGCGTAATAATAAATCTCACTAAGAAAACCCTAGTTGTGTATCATCCCTGTGACAACAACAGGTTTTTCGCCCTACTCGGACTTGAAATAGATTTAAATGGGGCAGTATAGAAGCAATTTGTGGTTGCCCAGACATGACCTGTTGGTAATTAATAAAGAAATGTCAGGAGCACCTTACAACAGGATGTGAGGGGTACCTTGAAAAGTTTTTGATCCACCAGGTACAAGAGAATGAAGCAGTGTTGAATCAGCTTATTACTTTTGTACCTGCCACCCACCTTATCCTCAGTGTACAGTTCCAAATTGTCCCACTCCTGTGGTTTTTTTCCTTATCTTAAAAAAGATGAAAAAAATTTGAAAAAAAAAACAAAATTTTTTTATGGTTAATATAGAACATAAGGCTTTGTTGATTTTATTAAAGTCGTTACCTGATAATATTTCGATACTTTTGTTCTTTCTGTTATAACTGGCTCTTTGTAAGATATGAATATTTATTGGCAAGAGAAGTTGAACATTTTACACGAACAAAAAGATTTATTGTTTTCTATGCTTCAGTCAGGTGAGTAAGATATGAAGAAAACACAGTTGTTCTGTTGAGTTTGTGTCACAACATCAAGGTGAATCATGTACTGATGCCTTTTAACCAGACTTCATTGCATGTCTGTGAGCTGTAGAATTCACTTCCAGACACATGTACAATGTAATAGTCTAAGGTTGGAGATGAAAGAGTTCGAAATGCTTCACTGCTCTGCTTTTATTATGTCCACCTGTTCGTTTTACAACGGAGCCCCTTGGTCAGGATATGTTTGTTATTAATAGATTGTTGATTGTTCAGCAGATCTGATTTTTGGATGGATTCTGCCAGGGATTATTTGATGTCATTCCTGTGTAAATGTATGGGTAGAGAGAGATAACTTGAATGTCATGTACCCTTATAGTGTACACCTGTTCTTCTCAAATTGCCCCCTTTTTGCCTGCCTAGATGTCTGGGGTATAACTAGTCTAGGTTATGATTTTCGATCAGATTTGAAGATTTTTTTAAAGAATAATTATCTGATAGACAGATTTTAAATAACTTGTAATTATGGATGTTAGGTAGAAGATGAAAGGTGGTCTTTGCAGCTTGGATCTTTATTTAGTGTGCACCTGTAAGCACTGAATAGACCTTTTGTTTACTTGTCCAAAAATTTAAGGTAAATTACTTTATGACTGACCCCCAGATTTAGAGCTTTTTAGATGAATTATATCATGAATTATTAAACCAAATGGAACTGATGTCAGAGAATTTGTGGTGTTGCAATTTGCAAAGTGAATCACTTCTTAGAATAGCACCAAGAAAGAAAATTACTCATAGAAATGTTTCTGATGTGCTTAGAGACATCATCCATTTTACAATATACACGTTATATGATGTTGTATATTAGTTCAGGTATTTTTCCCCTTTTATTTTATTTTATGCCTAATTATCCTACCAAAGTATTCTCTCTCTCTGACACACACACACACACACACACACACTCACACTCACACACACAGGTTGTTTGAAATACCGACATTTTACAAGAAAAGAAATTATTACTAATATTATATGTTTTAATGTATTCTCTCAGTTTCTTTTATATATGTGAATCACGTTCCCATGTTTGTGTGTGGGAGTATCTGTTGTCAGGGACAAGGGTTGCTATTTCACTGTTTTTTTTTCCCCTTACACATATGCAAACTTCTTTCATATCCATAGTATAAAAAAAGTCTTCAGCATATTGCATGCAAAGTAACCATGCCATTTAGATGAGAACTGTAGTGTTTTATTACTCACAGGTGCAGGGGAAAGGTAAATCATGTAATCTTTTTCACAGTGCAGGTGCTTCTCCTTTACCCATGGCTTGTCAAGAATAATCCTAGAAAAAAATGGCCATGATTTATGCCAGGAGATGTGTTTAGAACCTGGGCAATTTAGGTTGTTTTTGAGATGTATGCTCTTGTCAGTACTAGTGATTGACACAAGCACTAAGTCTGATAAGAAGAGCAGGTCTGCTGCATATAATATGAATGGCTGGCCTGACTTTATAATATAAACATTTACTGACTTGAAAGTGACATGCTAGAACTGCAATTTATATATTTTGGTCATTTGAACTGGCCGCATCAGTTAAAATGCATTGTTAATGGTACTTTAAGTTAATATACTGGTCTTCTGGATTGTGTACATTTTAGGTTCCAGGTAAGTGTTTCCTTCTTTAAAGAGCAACATATTGATGGTAAACCTTCAAATGTAGCCGCCAAAGCTAGATATTGTATGATTGAAAACAAGTTAAGAAAATCAGAACTGAAAAAGAATTGTTATAATCCATTTTCAGATGGAATAAAAGAAAACTAGAAATAGCACTTCCATGTTATTTTTGTGACTAATGTATTTTTATAGTCCCCATATTTTGTCATGTTACGACTAGCATCTCACTTGACATGATAATATAAGTAAAATAAAATGAAAGAAGCAGGTAATTCAAATGCAAATTTCAGAAAAAAATGGCTGTTCTATTGGCTTTTTTATGAATGACATACCTCTTCAATGAGCACAACATTATGAAAACGCCAGGTACTTTTTTCAATGATATGTCACCTAATCCTTCACTATATACTGGAAGAAGAGATTAAACTGTAGGCTAACCTTTTTTGTTCCATTATTGTCAAAATTGTTTGTTTGATATTTGAACAAATAGGCAGTCGGTCCTACTGTAGAAGAGTATAGGGATTCTGTTTCAGTTTTATTTGTGTAGTGTATGATTCAAGGCCTAAGTTAATAAAACACAAGCATACATTTACAGGTTCTGAATAAAAGTAAATATGGGGTCACTGGGAAAATTTTAAAGAATTACCCCCACATTCCAGCAGGGCGATCCCAAGTCATTTAAAAATGACCCCCACTTTTTTAGTTGGGGACCAAAGGAATCTTTGTTTAAAAGTTTGTGGAATTCGGATCGTAACTGATGTATTTGTTTTGGAAAGAATGTTTTCACAACTATAATATTATTAATTTCATACAATAAGACCTCTGCAGTTTCCCTATTCTGCATCATTTAATTTATAAGCACTTTGTAGGTTGCATATGAAAAACATTACAAGACGTAAAAAAAAAAAGAATTGTTTCCTGGGCCAGCTTTAATTCTGATCGTTGTTTATTTATAGGGAAACTAACAATTGCCATTGGATCATGATTTATATGGGGTCCAATTGATTCAGAAACGGCCCTCATATTCTGTACAAGTAAATGAGTTTTTGAATTTGCTAATGGATGTAAATAAGGTAATGATAAACATTTAATACAGGTAAATGGACACAGATTGTCACTCCCCTAAAGATTGTGCCACCTGTGCCCCACTGTTGTATCTATTAATTAGGCTTAATCTTATGTGAAGAAAAAATAAGATAGTTTAACAGTACAGTTTTGAAGTTTTTGCTAGTGATACATATTCACAAGATTTAACAGAAAAAAAAAAGATACCAAAATTGAAATAATTTCCCCATGTTGTCAAGTGTAGTCTACTTGGGAGATTTTTTTCACAAACAAACTGAAGTCCAAGTATTGGTCTAACTTTTATAGGCTTAACTTTGATTCTACTTGGGTTCAAGACAAGTCTGTAGTTGTTCAGCGAAATTAGATAATTACACCTGTTTTATAGCGTGAAATCATAGCTAATATTTCAGACCAATTATTACATTTTAGTTAGTGGACTGCTATGGGTCGATTATAAAGTAGAAAAGGTTTTGGTCTAAAAGTAGATTTCAATATTTGGCCTGAAATTCTCTTTTTAAAGTGGACCCAGGACTGTAAAGGAAAAGCATTGAGGGGAAAAGAGCTTGCCACCTTGCACCAGCCTGCCATGACAGTTATGCTGGTGCTGTGTACATAATTATATAAAATTGACCCTTCAAAACGTTTATCTTTCCTATGTAGTGGCTAGGGTCATGGATAAATGGACTTAGTCTTTTCTGACAGCAGTATGATATTTGAAAAGCATGATCCTTTTGAGGGCGATAACAAAGCAAATATCTGTTCTTTGGATAGTAGTCTTTTGTCCCCAAGCATTTGTCCTAGCATCTTGACCAAGGCCATGAGCAGTGTTTGTAGATTTTTCTTCATGTTATGCAATGTTCAGGACAATTAAATATCCTAAGTTATGAGTGGCAATTTATTTTAAACAGTCTTGAAGTTTAAAAAATTGGTATTGATCACCTGTCCTCAGTGGATTTAAACACCCCCTTCTCAGAATAGATCAAAAGGCATTAAGAGATGCTTGGGTTTCCTACACAACTCAAAA